GAGGATATATTGTGAGCATGTGTGATTGATTTTGGTGAGAGTTGGGACTCCTACCTTCCCCGTAGCTAATTTTTCTTTCAATAACAGCTATCACTCGTTTTTGGCAGAAGTGTCATACCCCAGTCTGTTGGGGAGAGGTTGGTCACAGGGTTATAGGAAGCATTGAGGTAGTCTCAAATGACAGAGTTCATTCAGTAGATTAGGTAGAGACTTCAGACAGCTCAGAGTCGGCAGAAAAGTTATGCTGACAGGCGCCAATTGTAGTTGGAGTTTCAAGTTGGCGACATGGTGCTACTGAAGGTATTGCCCTAGAAGGGTGTAATACGCTTCAGGAAGAGGGGAAAGTTGGGGCCCCGGTATATTGGGCCATTTCGGGTGATTGCCAGGGTTGGTAAGGTAGCTTACAAGCTGGATTTGCCTGAGGAGCGCAGTCAGATCCACCATACCTTCCACGTTTCGCAGCTTCGGAAATGTTTAATGATTCAGCAGTTATCCCTTTGGAGGATATTCATGTGGATGATCGTCTGGATTATGTATAGAGACCGGTGGCGGTTTTGGATAGGAAGATGAAGAACCTGCGCAACTAGGAGGTGCTTTTGGTAAAGGTCCAGTGGCAGCATCGGAAGGGTTTCGAGTGAATGTGGGAACCTAAACCTAAGATGTGGGAACATTACCCGGAGTTATTCGCAGTTGTGGACTTCGAAGATGAAGTCTAATTCAAGTGGGGGAGAACTGTAACACCCGTTCCATGTATGAATCTTTATTGAATTGTTTAATGCTTTCTAGGTGGCCAAGTCGTGGTGGAGTTCCACCATGGTGTGGCAATTCTTGATGGGTCACGGGTTTTTGATGGACCACCACGACGTACAAATAGGCGCCACATCATGGTAGCCATTGTTGGTGAAAACCCTAAATTTTAGGGTTTGCACCCTATTTAAGCATCATTAACCCCCAAAACCTGTTACCCTCATCTGCTTCTATTTCCCACTCCGTTCCTTTCAAACCCTAATCTCCATTGGTGGTGTTTTGAGCTCATTTTGGCGATTAGGGTCCATTATAGAGTGAAGGAAGCCATTGGAAAGCAAGAAGAAAGCCCCAAGCTTTGTAGATATGAGTTGTACACCTCTTGAGCAACCCACATGAGTTATAAAGTTCTTGATGTTTATATTTCTAGATCTTGATATGTTAGAAGTTATTTTCTTTTAGTTCCATATTTTTGGTTTATTTGAGTATGGACTACTCAAGACCTTATGAGTTGCCTTTTTGGACGTTTTGGGGTATTTAGTGTTATAAAAATAGAATCTTGACCCTTTCCTTTCCTCCATGCATGCATTTGGTGACATGTAGTTTTGTGTAAAGTTAGGGTTTATGATTTTGGCACTTTATAGCCATGCAAAGTCATAAAGTTGGAAACTTTATGAGTTATAATGTCATTTGGGATCAAAACTGAGTTTTAGATGAAAGTAATTTAGGGATTAGGAGCTTAATGTTTAAGCCATGTTGAGTTTTGCCCCTTTTGAACCTAAAATGAGAGATCTTTACTCATTGGAGGGTCTTAATGGATAAAGTTGGAACTTTATTTATCTAGACCTTATAATATACCAGATTTGGGCTTTGGAGCCCCTGAAATCGAATCATATCAGAGTGAATCCCAAAATACGGAAAAAGGTGGTGCATGCTCTGCAATCATCCTGGACTCTTCCCTTTCGATCCTGATGTACCTGAAACACAAACTAAAAACCGTAAGCACAAATCTTAGTGAGTTCCCTAAAATACCACATACCATACATAGATGAACATATAATGGGCCCCGCCCAATGAGTATAACGGGCCCCGCCCACTGAATATAACGGGCCGCCCCCCACTGAGTATAACGGGCCCCACCCAAACCTGAGAGCAAGGCAGACATAAGCTGAGGGCCAGAAAGGCAAGCCAGACTTATGATGTGGGCTCGGGAGCAAGCCATACATAAGTTGAGGGCCGGAAAGGCAAGTCAGACTTATGATGTGGGCTCGGGGCAATCCAGACATGAGTTGTGGGCTAGGTGGGCAATCCAGACTCGTGCTTTGGGCTTAGGGGTAATCCAGTCCAATGGTTGTGGACCCAGTATGCATGTTGTTATATGTTGTGCGGTGGTATTTTGGAGGAACTCACTAAGCTTTGGCTTACAGTTTGATTTCATGGTTCAAGGTAGATCAGATGATTGGGGCAAGGTGATGGCGTGATTATGCCCATCATCCTTGGATATTTTATTAATAAATGATTTTGGGATACTGTAATTAACGATTATGGCTTTTGGAACAATGTTTTGAATGATTTATGGACTATCAAAATGGTTTTAAAAACAAAATTTTTTTCCTTGATTTTTGGGATGTTACAAATCTATACATGTCTATCCAGCTGAATGTACAATTGTAGCTCCAATCCACCCCTACCTTGGATAAAATCATAGTGAATTGTAGAATCATCATAAATTCTTAAGGTTTGAATCATTAGAAATGTGTGTGTGTGTCTAGTTTCTTTCATCTCTATACTACTTAACCTAGTTTTAACCCCCCTTAAGGGATGAAATGTCCAAACTTAGCAGACTGGTTCAACCAGTTGATCGATTGCAATTTTCAACATGGAAAATCATAGAAAACATAAAAAAAAAGTTGTATGAGCACATACTTCATGTCCCTAAAAAGCTAGAAGATTATACTTTAACCTTAGCTAGAAACTTCTCTAAGAAGGCGAGTGTAAGAAGGGTAAAACAGACCAAAGACAGATTGTTGTATAGAAATATATCTAAAATAAAGTACTAAACAAGTATTGTTATTAAGTAATAATAATAGTGTGACCCGCTGAGTAACTAGTGGTACTTTATGTAGGTTGACGAGAGCTTAGTTACCTACTAGTCCACATTCCAATAGTATTGGTAGCTATCTTTAGATTTCACTTCTCTATATGTGATGCTTATGTTATGTAGTTATATGATATGTATATTTTTTCCTAATGATTAATCTAAAACTATAATTGGACTATAGCATTTTCATGGCCGGATATGAGGGTGTGCAATGTGGGCATGTGCACAGGGCCCATTTTTTTCAAGGGGCCAAATTTTTTTTTTAGTATATTTAGTCCGGATCGATTGCCATCGTAGTCCAGACGCAAGAACAGAAGCAGCAGAACCACGATTGGCAAATCGCAGTAGAATAGAAGCAGTGATTTATAGCGATCATTCAAGGCTCAGTCTTCATCGTACAACAACGAGGGTGAAGGGTTTAGGGTCGATTACTCATTCAGTCATTTGAATCACATAATCAATCATTATCAGGTAATCGATTATCAACACTGATTCAATAATCAACACCGACCATGATCAATTGATCATCAATTTTTTCAGTTTATAATTGAATACTTTATAGTTAATACTTGAATAGTTATGAATAGATTATCAGATACAAAAATCAGAATGTTGATTGTTGAAATTGGATCATTATCAGTTTGACAGTTTATCACTTATTCACTTTATCAGAATTCAGATTATAGTGAATGACTTCATGTTGAAATTTTGAAATCTGACTGAATGTTGAATCAGATTAATAGATTATGATAGAAATCATAATGTTGAATCATTATCACTTCATGTTTATTGTATAATTAAATCATTGTTAGAAAGTTGAATGACTTGAATGGAGGGTGTTTGGTTGGGTTTTGGTAATTTTTGGACAAAAGGGCATTTTGGTCTTTTTTTTCCCCGAAATTGTTAATTCTATCATTCTTAGAATTATCCGAAGACCAGAAAAACAATGCCAACACCTTCTAATATGTTAGTACACCTTGTATTTTAAATTTCAAGTTAATTGGACTTAAAATGAGGGATTTCATCATTCCAGTTCTTCGGTCTTCATCTCTAACTTCTCTTCGCATCCAACTGCCTCCTCTTTCTCTCTGTGCAATTCAATTCAATATTCAGTCAACAATATTTGAAGAAATTGATCAAAATGTGCACAAATCGTCCAAAATATGCATAATTTCCGACTTCTAAGGGCCTTTTTTTTCGGCTCGTCCTGGGCATTTGAATCCTCAGGACCGGCCCTGAGCATTATGATGATTGATGTGAGACTATAATCAAAGCTATATCATTCTGATGAACTGATGATTTGTATGCTTGATGTATTATGTTCCTGATGATTGATGAATGGTGTGCTTCATGATGTGTGGTGTAATGTATAGATGTAATATTCTCATTAAGATTTATACTTACCCGTTGTTTACTAATATTTTCATGACCCTTCGGGGTAGATAAAAGAAAAACCGATTTGATTACAGTAGTGTCCACATTGACTTTAGTTACAACGATTTTATTATACATACATTTTATTACTTTGATTTTAACGTTTAAGACTTCTGCTACGTTGTTTACTCTTTTATTGTTAATTGACTTTTAGTATTATAATAAAAGATTTTATGATTGTTATTTATTTCGAAAATGTATTTTTTTTAGAAAAAAAAATGGGACATTATAAATAGGCATGTTATAAAACCGTTTTCGCAAAACATCCTGCTACAACGCGCAAATGCAAACCTAGTTAAGTAACAAATAAAAAATTACTTAGAAAGGACAAATAAAATTATTATTTGAACTCTTTTCAAAATTTTACGTATTCTAAAAGGTTTATAATTCGTTTTGTGATTCTATATTAAATGGATATATAATATTAGAAAAAAACCAATTAATAAAAAAAATTTGAGTATAGAAATCATTACATTTGTATTTAATAGAATCATACCAAAAAATATTGTAAAAGTAAAAGGATCATTGCAACTCAAACCCATTGGTAAAGTCTTGAAATGTGAATTAAAGGAAAAGAGAAACGATAAAGTAGCAAAATTTGTCTTTGAAAATCTTTTCCAGCTTTGAAAACTGTAATCTGCACCATAATAGACAAATTGAAGAAATCGAAAGGGCGATATTCGAGTTTCGAGACCACAAAAAGACACAAAGAACCACATGTCTTTGTTGCTACGTCTAATTTAATAATCATAAACTTTAACTTTAAAAAAACAAGTTAAAATTCACAGTACTCTTTCCCTCATCTTTTTCCACCATTGACAAACATTCATTCTTACAATATACATCCTTGATTCTGTTCTGGATGAAATTCCTAAATATTCATATTAAATCAACATTTTTTTTTCTTATAAATCTAACAAAAACAAATCTTGCTTCTACTTCTTCTGCACCAAGAAAACATCTTCGCCTCATGGATTTGAAAAAGACCAAGGAAAGAACCCATCTCAAAAATTGGATCTTCACTTCTTCAATTCAATAATCTGTTAACAAAATTAACCAGATTCAAACACTATTCAATCACAAATATTTCTTGATTCAAATTTGTTTTACTTACCATCATCCTTCTTCATTGCCTTTCTAGCAATCAACAAAAGTACTATCAAAAACCCAACTCCGGCAGCCCCTCCCAAGATGATCGCCGCCGTTTTCCCTGTATTTGACCCTGCAACACCAAACCCACATAAAAAATTTACCAATTTCAACATAAATTCGCAAAATCTTGATTTGAGAAACATACCTGATGAAGAAGATGAAGACGATGGCGATGAAAATGAAGAAGACGATGTTGGTTTGTTGGGTTTTGGGGTTCCATTAGGGTAATAGTTATAGCTAATGAAGCATCTGTGAAGATAGATTTGACCTGAGATTGAGCTTCCACACTCGACTTGAGCCCTCTGCACAGCACTTTTCACACAATTCCCACAATCGGAAGTCCCTAAATCACCCTGACATTGCCCCAAAACATACATAGATTCATAACTTGTTGTGTAAAATCCACCATTTCCGGTTCCAATAACACTTTCCAAAGACGAAAATGCTGAATCTCTTCTTTCTTGAAACCCATTTCCACCGGCATTTGTTTTCCCACAAGTCTTGTAAAGCATTTCCATTCCTGAGATTTGAGAAAACCCAGAAACTTCATAAAGCATATAACAACCCAGAAGCTGGATTCTTGCAGCCACCGTCTTCCCACAAAGCTTATCCATCAAGATTGGGAGTCTGCTGACGCAAGTGTAGCAATCGACATTACTCAGATCTCCTCTACACTGAAAAAGACCAGAAACCGATGCTTGCCCACTACCACTTGTTGTCTTGTAGAACTTGGATTTTGAGGATTGTTGTAAAAGTGTCCCGAAAATGGCAGAGAGGGCAGAAGAGTAAACGCCAGTTGGATCTGATAGAGGTTGGTTTGCACATCCTTTGTAAACTAAGTTTGAGTTATCTGGTGCAGACGTAACCAGAGGGAGGACGAAGACCAAAAACAAGAATAAAGAGAGAAAGAGTAAGGTTTTCATTGATAAATGTGAAGACATCTGAGATGTTTTTTTTTTCTTTTTTATGTCTATGAAATCATGGTTTTTGATTTCTAGATAGATTTGAAAGATGGAAAGTGGTGATGATGGTGAGAAAGATTAGGGTTTGGGTTTGGGTTGTGGCCTACCTTAACAGGGTGTGAGGAGGTGCATCTATGTCTGAATGAGCAGTGTTTGTTTCAAGTAAGATGTGTACACTGTATATAATAATAATGGAGTCCAATTTATTTTTGTAATATATTATTACTCACAATTAGTTTTAATAAGCTTTATCAAGATTAATCCAAAGTATTTATGTACTAACAATAGTACTTTTAGTAATAAGTTATTCAGATGTATAATAAAATTTAGCCCAAGAGTGTCTAAGTATGCCAGGGAAACATATAACATATATTACAAACGAGGATATGTATACAAAGTCAATTTGAATTACAAACGTGGTGGTTTGAAATATAATTAGACAAGGGTGAGGGATATAATTAGTTTAGTATTAAATTGAACTAATATGTAGTACAGTAGTAGATATGTTGCTTATATTTTATTTAAATAAAAATTATTTGGTTACATCATGCTTTTAATCCACAAATAATACATAGTTTTAATATGTAGTAGATGATTTTCAACTTTTGATTATCTGTCATTTAAAGAAAGATAGATAATTCTCATTAATTTTCATGTCGTTAAAAAAAAGGTTTCTTATGTTAAAAAAAAGTTTTATATATTTATCAAAAACGTCTCAGTGACATTTTTTACTTAAGGACTTATACATATTGATAACAAAGCTTCATTTACTTAAGGACATGTACATATGGCTAACAAAGCCTAACCGTTAGGGTTATTCTCGACACACATAATGATTAAAGATGTGTGAATGAACACATAACTTTACATTACTCAAATAGTTGAAATGAAAAATAGAGACAAAATACGATTAGGTTTTATTATTATAAAAGAAAAGTACAATTACAATAAAAAAAAGAAAGACAATATAAATAAGAAAGCTAATTAGTTTAAATTTAGCTAAATTACAAACATGGGGCTCAAACCAAAAAGGCATAATAGATTAATTAGGCTAACATCCCCTGAAACTCATAATGCAACAACAATAAGTATTGAGAGTGTGTGAGACAAAAAATGAAATCTGTGAGCAGTCAATGTCTTCGTAAACATATCTGCAAAACGCAATGTGGATTGAACAAGAGGTAGAGAAATAGTCTCATTCTGAAGGTGATGAAGAGTGAAATGATAACCAATTTCAATATGTTTTGTCCGCTCATGGAATACCGAATTCTTGGCAATCATTATCATACTCTGTGTAACACCCGTTCCAAGAAAGGTTCATTTTTAACCCTAATATATTTAAGATTGGCATTTTTGGTCCGTACGTCGTGTCTACTCAGGGTGTACGCATGGGATACTCGCGCATGAGAAGAACGGAACTCGCACGCGTACGTCGGGCATACTCAGCAGGTACGCCACGCGTACGCTGTTCAGACCAAAACCCCAGTTTTGAGGATTTGTACCATATATAATCTCCTTATGGCCCCAATACCTTCACCCTCATCAGCCTCCACCTAAAAATCATCCCTCTAGCTAACCCTAAGTGTGAAGAGTGCATCCTTGAGCTCATTTGTGTGTTTTGGTGGTGTTCTTGAAGAAGAAGAAGGTGGTAGAAAGACATTGGAGCTTGGATCTGGAATTCTCACATTGCTAGCAACCTTCTGGAGGTAAAAAAAACTCCTAGTTTGATCATCTTTTCTTATGGATCTAGTTATCTCTTCATTTAGGGCATTTTTGGTCCCAACCTTTGTGATTCTTGAGCATGACATGCAATTGGACGTAAAAAGTCAAAGTATTAAGCTCTCAAGTGGTTAAGAAGGAAACTTGTGTGTACAATGGGCGTACCGAATGGCACGTTGCGCGTACGCAGGTTAAGCCCCGATGCCTAGGACCACGAGTACACCCTACGTACATCCGAAGTACGCCCCACATACGAGGCCTGATTTGACTCGGCTGGGTTAACTAGGTGGATTTTGTTGATTTTGACCGGTTTTGACCAAGGGTATTTTGCGTATTTTGAGCTGTTAATTGAGATTAGGTCCTTGGTTTTGGTTAGGTGACCGTTGAGCCGATTTTTCTGAACAACGATTTGTTTAACTTGCATTCCGACTGAGATGTGAGTTTTCCTCACTATACTTGCGGGTCGAAGGCACCAATGTTGGCCCAACAAATTATGTATCTTGTTATAGAATGTTGCTATGCTGTAGTGATTTGTTAAGATCTGCATGTTTATCTGTTGCTGGTATATGTTTATTTGTTATGCATATGTCGACATGGTATAGTTGGGTTTAGGTTGTACTGCTTTGTGCGGTAGCCAACAAACCCGGGAGCAATCCAGACATAAGCGGTGGGCCCCGAGGGCAAGCCAGACTTATGTTGTGGGATCGGGAGCAATCCAGATATGAGTTGAGTGCCCGATAGGCATGCCAGACTCATACTGTGGGCTCAGGGGTAATCCAGTCTTTTAGTTGTGGACCCATATATGTTGTTATATGTATGTGTGTGTTGGTACTTTGGGGGAACTCACTAAGTTTTGGCTTACAATTTTTAGTTTATCGTTTCAGGTACTTCTGAGGATCGTAGGAAAGCAAAGGTGTGCATCGTACACAACTTCCTGTTTTATGTCACTGAATCTTAGGAAAACTCTGATTTGAAACAATGATTCTTTTTGTAAACAAGGTTTATTAATGGTTGATTTTGAAAATTTTAAATTTCTTCGAGTTTTGGAGTGTTACACTCTCGTTATCGCAATGCAGAGGGGTCGGATGAAAAATATAAACACCCATATCTGCAAGAAGCCATCTTAACCTAACAATCTCACAAATGTCGACAACCATAACTCAATACTCAAATTTTGTAAGTGGTCGAGAGAAAACATCCTGTTTCTTGCTCTTCCACGAAATCAACGAATCTCCAAGAAAATTTCAATAGCCAGTAGTGGACCTATGATCATAAAATTGATATCCCAATTGGCATCACTATAAGCATGTGGCTCAAGATAGGACGTGGAAGGAAACGCACGGCTGCAAAACTGAGTATTACGAAGATATCTCAAAATACGAAGAACAGCTTACCACATGAACTACATGAGCAATATCCAGCCTAAGGAAAGTAAGTTAAACCAAACTCTAGACAATGGTATGATAAAGGGTCAAGTCTGATAAGGGAACATCGTCAGTTGGAGAAAACTTAAGATTACTCTCTAGAGGCGTATCAACTGTTCGGTTATCCGAGAGCCATGCACGTTCAAATAAATATGATATATAGTTCGTCTGAGATAAAGATTACCCTATAGAGATTGAGCAACTTCAATCCCCAAGAAATAACACACTAATACCAAGTCTTTCATAGCAAAATGGTAAGCCAAATTACGCTTCAAAGACTCTATACCATCATGATCATCACTAGTAATAATCATGTCAACAACAAATAAGGAAAGAAGAATTCGACCTACACCTTTACATCTAACAAATAAAGTTGAATCCTAATTACTAGGATGAAAACCAAGAAAAGTAATTACCGTAGAAAATTTCTCAAACCAAGCACGAGGGGCTTGTTTGAGACCATACACTGCTTTCTGAGGCCGAAAAATTTCACCAGGCTAGAGAGAAATACCTAGGAGGAGACATGTATACCTCCTCATGAAGATCAACATTCAAGAATGCATTCTTGACATCCATCCGATGAATCTTCCATTGTCGAACAAAATAAGCAACAATTAGAGTGTAAATAGTCAATCATTTTTGCAACTGGAGCAAAAGTCTCCTCATAATCTGTAACACCCCGTTTAGTAAATAAATAAATAGACAAATTAATATATGAATAGTAGCCCTAAATGCGGAATAGTGTAGCAAGGAGTTAGTTTTGGGGGTTAAAAAGTTATATTGAGAGTTTGGGGGTTAAAATGTAATTTCCAGATTAGTTTGTAAGGAATTATGAAGGTTGAGGGTTGTTTAGTAAATTATGGGCTTATTATGAAAGGATTTTTGAAGACAGGGGCTGTTTGGTAAATGTTGGACTTAAATTGAAAAGATTTTTGGAAGCTAGGGGCTTAATGGTAAATATTGGATTAAAGTTGAAAAGATTTTATGGAGACAAGGGCTAAAGGGTAAGTTTTGGGTTTAATTTGAAAAGAATAAGAGGAAGGGGGACTGGAAGTGTATGTTATGGAAAGTTTTAAGTGACCGGGTATATAACCTCCAGGTCCCGTAACCCTAACCCTAACTATTCATGGCCGCCACCTTATGCCTCCCTCCCTCCAGCCGCCACCATCTCTACCATTGTCGGACGTCGGGTGTTGCCGGGAAGAACCACCAAGACCGATGTTGTTATTAGGGAGGACTAATCGAAGGTTCTGGGTTGGGTCTCATTGTTGCCATCGCCGCCATGCGGCTGCTTCACCGAGTGTTGTTGCCGCCACCTCCGTTTCTACGATCCCCGGTGCCGCCACCACCGTTGTTGAGGTCACAAACCAACCGCTGCGACCATCCTACCTTACGGCAGGATCGAGTAGCCACCGTGAGCATCCGTTGCCACCTTCTTTCTTCTCTTCTTACCGTTAACCGCCGCTGTTGGCGCTACTGCTGCTGTTGTTGCCGTTCTCTTCTTACCGTTAACCGCTGCTGTTGCCGTCACCGTGCACCACAAAGTGTGGTTGCGTTCAGATTTCCAGGCAAAACGTGTGGTGTGTTCCGCTACTAGCTCGTGTTTACGTGTGCTAGGGGCGTGTGTTGCTTGGCTTTCATCGCAAACCGCCGTTGTTGCCCCCCATCTCGCGCCATCGCCGCCATCGTACGCCACCAGGTGGGTGGTTGGGTCCATTTTGCAAACTGAAACATGTGTATGTGTGTGTGTTTATTACAGTGAAGTGGTGTTTGGGTGTTGCTTGTCTGAAACATGTGTATGTGTGTGTGTTATTTTGGATATTGTTGTACAATTGTAATTAGTGGCCGAAATAATCAAGGAAATTCATAACCACCACCGTGAGGTGGTGGCCGCCGCCGTGAGCCGCCATTGACCACCACTACCCGAGGTGGTAGAGGGTGGTGCCCAACTTAATTAATAATTAATTAATCAAAAGCTTAACAAATGGATTAATTGGAACATGATTGGGTTGGAAAACCTAATTAGGGTTTAGA